TTTCATTCCTTCATTTTAATCATTAATGGTATGAACCTGCAACTGCATGCCAGCAAGGTGTGTCACAAGAGTGCCAAGTCAGTCACTTTTTCAAGTAGACACTGTACAGAGGTAGAGCTTCCTTACATAAATGTCGCTCATTTCTACAGAATAAGAGGAAGTTTCTCAAGCTCATGAAGGACCCATGAGCTTACAGAGGCTAATAAGATTAAACCAATGTTCCTGTTCAGATGATTTGCTCTCAGCTGACTAGGACTAGTCTCTATTACTTTCCCAGTGCTCTCTGACTTGGTAAAGGCCTTGAAAGCTACTCTTTTTGCAGGATACAAACCTATAAACCAGGTCAAGCGGAGAGAATTGCAATGTATTTATTTAGGTTCACTGAAATACAGATGGGGTTGACTTCTGTTTCTCCCCAAATATTTTAGCAGTGCTAATGTAAAAGACCAAAATCATTCAATCACATCTAGAGAGACATAAGAAAGACCGTGACTTGTATTAAGGAGTTAATCAACTGTAATAATAATGGTAGGGTGAAAATTCCATGCATCAATTTAAGACCTCACATTTACCATTAACAAGAAATAAAAGTATGTATTGAAACATTCATCAGTTCATTTAGTTTTTTAAAGAGTCAGTGCTCCTTCCATGGTCTCCCGACGTATTTCTAAATATCAGCCATTAATATGATTAGTTTGCATATGTAATTGGGTAGCCCTGCAATAGGGTATTGCCAAGGCTAGTAGCAGGCCAAAAGCTATGTATTGAGCTTGCAAGGCCTCAAGACTGAGGCTTGTCAGGTCTGTTCTGTTCTGTTGGTAGTTTTCTTGGCCTGCCTGCTGCTTTGCTTTACTAGCTTTAGCCCTGAGAGCAATACCTCTAATTGATGAGGTGTCTATGGCTAATTTGTTTTAGTTTTGTTTTTCTTTGTGTGTTAAAGCCACAGTTTTATAAAGACAGCAGTAACAAGCAGCCATTCTATGTAGAATGAGATATTTATGACTCTGCAGTGAAACTCCCTTGCTCATTTTATATCCTTTCCAGGTGATTGTTTTGTAATGCATGTATCCTTGGGATATTTCATTAACAGCAACATCTGCCATTGAGGCCTTTAAGAAGCCCTGCTTTTCTGAAATGAAATCTTTATCAAAAATATGTTAAGGCAGGAGGGATTTTTTTTGTTGTTGATGTAGAAATAAAAATAATTTAATTTTAACCATATAATCTGGCTATAATTTTGAGGCAAGGGACCCAACTGTGAATCCTGGATGTATGTGCGAAGGCTCTGTTAAACTCCTAAGCTCTGAGAACATTTATGAGAGCATGGTTTGCCTTTAAATTAATATAGATCATCTTCACAGGCTGGAATGATGTGGGTAATTCCTTCTCACGCTCGTACCCCTCCCATCTGTACAGAGCAATTTGATAACTGTATTCAAAAAGCAAAAGCAAATGATACATGTAATTGTTATAGGCCCAAATCAAGGTTCAGCTATGGGCACTTTAATCTGTTTCCCGATAGCAGTATGGAAGTGCATTCTGTTCTGAGCTCTTGTCTAAATGGCATCATCAATGAAATACCAATTACAGGCTTGCAATCGCTACAGCTCTGAGGGTTCAGTTCATGTATTTAATACCAGAATTCTCCAGCTTCATTAATGCTCCTTACCATTTCTTAGGAGTACATTTCAACAGATTGCTTCTACTGGACCCAAGGTGTGGACACAGTTAGAAACAAACTGTAATCACAGATTGCTTATATTGGCCATAGAAGCACAAAATTATAAACATTAAAAGGTACATCAAAGATCTAAGATCTAAGATCCTATACTGCTTTTGCATGGCACCTCCTATTTGAAGACTCAAAAGTACTCACTGACTTTAGCCTTGCAGCAACATAGAATATCCTTCTTCACTGTATTTTAGGGGAAATGGTTAATATCCAGAGGCTGTGTGTCATTTGTTATTTTTTAATATATCATGTAAACAAGCTTTTGTGGGAATAAGTATTGATTAAAACTGATTGATGAATTAAGATCTGTTTGTTTCTTTTTACACCTTTCAGATGTCATTGATGTGGTATTCATCTATTGTGCTACTTGTCCTTCTTTTCAGCAAGGCTGTGTTAAAAGGAAAGTGTGCAAGGCAATAAAAACTATGTGGCATACTGTCTTTTGACACTAAAAACACAGACATAGCCTTAACCATCAGATCTACAAGCCAAGTGGAAAATACATTTGTTTTCACTGAATATATCATAAATAACTGTGAGAGAAGGAAGTACACATGCTTGGCTCTTTGAGTTTCTAGAGATAATCAGAAAAATTTAAGTATTCATAGTGCTTTAAAGCAAAAGAAAGTGATGAAAATGTTGCACTTAACATGTTGCTGGTTTGTGCAGAAACAGCAGTGAGAGGCTGTCCCATGGCTAACAGGAGCAGCACAAAGCATGCTGGAGAAGAACCATGTTTTTACGTCACTGGCATTACAGTGTCTTGTGTTGGCTCTAAGAGTAAGCGATAAGCTGGGAGACACTGATATGGAGAAAAACCTATGTGCTTCCTCACCATGCAAAAATTTTGCTTAAACAAATTTATACTGATGATGCCTCTACTGCCAGCATAGCCAGAAGTATGTTCGTGGTGCAAGACTTAAAAGAGATGTTTTATTGGAACAGTGGGCACAAAAATCCACAAACTTATTTCTGTGAGTCAGGACACATTGTGTTGGCTGTCATAAATTAATGGATGTTGTTATACATCACATGAAACATTGACCATAGAACATGGTACATGCAATCCATATTGAGTCCTGTTTATGTTACTCAGGTTTTAGAACAGGCCTTTTTTTTTTTTTTTTTTCTCCACATTTGTTTGTGTTTCCACCCATGCACCACAGACCATAAATCATTCCAAATCTGCACTATATCTGGAAAAATGTAGCTCACCAGGGGTTTTAGTGTGTAGAAAACAGGCATTTTTCTTTGTTCTTATGAAGATCATGGTGAAAGATAAGGGAATACTTCTTAAAGTATGAAACACTACACTTCTATGCTACTTCTGCAGGGTCTTGGAGAGTAGAGTGGGATTAGGATTTAGAAAAAGAACACACGTTCATTCCATCTAAATGTAAACAACAACACATTTGTCAAAGGAAGATAAAGGAAGATGCCTGTAATTTGTAAAGAGTTGAGAGCTAAAAAATTCAGTTATACTTGCTATAAGAAGAATAAGCACAGAGGGCAGAGATAGCATTATCTCAAATTAGAATACCAAATATATTAGGAAAAATAATCTTCACTGTTTCATGAAGATTCACAACAACATCACCTATATTTCTACAGATCCTTCCCTTTTTAGGACTGTTAAATTATATGTTTAGATTACCATGAACCAAAACTGACATGGTCAAAACCCACACAAATTAATGAAAATTACATAGAGCGCTGTCTGGGAGGTCACAAGTAAAGCCAGCCTAAGGGTTTGGGGAATATACTGTGCTACATTAAAACTTCGATTTTATTTTTCTTTGAGAGAAATTTCTTCTTGGCAGGCTGCTGTTTGTTTTCATGATTAAGTGGTAAAGAACCTTAGGCATATCTCTGGGGCAGAGGAGTAAATGAGTAACACAGCACAGGCTACAGAAACCGAGGGTTAAATGCAGCCTTTCAGTGGTTCAGTATTTTTACTATTTACATCCTGGAAAAGTGAGTACCTGAACAAGCAGTCACAACCTTTGTGCCCTACAATTTTTTCTCTGTGCCCCCATGTTGTGCTAGGCCTAGCATTCGTGCAGCCATACAGTAAACTTTGGAAAACTGCTGCTCACTCTGAACAGGCTTTTTTTTGCTCTGCTCCATTTTTTTTTCTTCCCTCCCTCAAATTCTCACCTTACACTGTTTCAGTCAGTACATGTTGTGGCACATTCACATTAACTCTATCATAAAGAGAAGAGTAGGAATGACCTTTTCAGCAGCAGCACAAACAGATGCCAGATTAAAGTGACCGTGGAATTCAAATCAAGTGTTCAGATGCTTTCTGATTATTTATAATGGCTTAATAAATATGTCATCTTCAATGAAAAAAAAAAAAAGAAAAGAGACTATGGCTGGGCCTGTCAGAGAACTGTATCAATGATGTAGATGTAGAACTCCATCAATTAAAATTTTTATTCCTATGTGTTAAAAGCTAGCATGTCCTATTCATTTCAAAAATAACTTTTCAATGAATTTCAGAAAACAAACAAACTGGCCTTTCAGAAGCTCTTTAAACAACCTAAACCTGTGTAGCTGCTGCTATTTATCAGTGAATATACGAAACAGCCTTCTTCTATGCATTTACCACAGAAGTTAAGATAATATAAAATACGCATATTCTGTTACTACCCATCTACTGTTTTTTCTTTTGACTGCTTAAATTATATATATTGCAGGGTATCAGTAAAATAACAAAACCATGTAATATTAAAACCCCCTACACCTACACAACAGAATTAAAACAATAAAAAGTGCCTGCCAAATCAAGACAAAAAAATCAACAGCAAAAATCCAAGCCAACCTGGAACCACATTAAACTGAAAGAGAAACTACAAAGGAGATGCAGTCAATAGAAGGAAACGATCACACTAAACATGCCTCGTTTAATCCTACTCTTACTTTTGTACAGCACAAAGGGAGTTCAGTCATAAATATTCAGCCTTAAGGCTATAAAGATTTCTACAGAGTTTGCTGAGTAGTAAGACCAGATACAGTTTATTCCTTGGTTTGAATCTGTAGAAGGTCTTGCAGAGAACTGTGAGCAGTGAAATGCTTCCCCCTCCACAGGCAGACACACGAGGTAACCTGGGGTTTACTGTAACCCAAGGTAAATTATGCACATACTAAAATGAAGAACAAGTGTCCAACACCTCTAAGAAGAACAGCCACAGGCATAAATGTCAGGAAGACATTCCCTGCATAGCAAAGTGAAGTGAAAGTGAAGCAAAGACTCTATCAAACTTACCTGTATCTGAGTAACAAAGTGTTCAACCCACCTAGGGAAAAATCTTATCCATTCCTAAAACTTCCAAATAGCTATATCAAAACATAAATAGTTACCAGCTGCTGGGAATAAGAACCAAGAAGAAACCCCCACCACAATCAAAAGTCCAAGCATTTATGGGATAGAAAGAAAAGAAATCACAGGCTCCACTACTAAATTGCAAGAGTATGTAACAGCTCCCTATGGGCTGCAGCTGGTAGTCTCTTTTAAATTCCGAGCTAGCAAATGTCACTAAAAGGAGAAGTGGAAAATAAAGAGTTAGTAGTACTCTGTCTAAGGAAAGAGAGTTCTTTTTTATAAGCCCCACAAATTATGGAGAGAGTTTGGTACATTATAAACCCCCAAACTACCACAGTTGTTTGTATTAATTTGGGTTGTACTTGTCGGCTCTCTTGTGAATAATATAGTTTAAATTGCACAAAATTAATCAGGGCAGCTTTGAAAATCTCAGAATTCTTCATGTAATTTGAAATAATATTGCACAAATATTTACATATTTTAGAACTAGATTTTTATAATGCATACCTGCAGCACGCGCAAATATAGCTGGACTAACCTTAAAAATGGTTAGCTGTGTTTTTGCAGAAAACAGAGATCAGTGTGGATTACTCACCCGAGAGTCTGCTTGGGTTTTTCAAATGGATTCATAAATGCTCTGAAGTTCTACAGTGACATTGCTGACATTGACTTCACCTTTTCTATCTTAAGAAAAGAGATCTATCACTGTCCATTTTAAAGGAATACCTATGCTGGATTAGCTTGTGAGAGTGCTAGAGCATGTGATCAGGACTATTTTTTGAGCTGTAATTATGAAAAAGTACATTCATAACCAAGTTAGTCAATGAGGTTTTTTATTATTTTATTTTATTTTATTTTATTTTATTTTATTTTATTTTATTTTATTTATTTATTTATTTTTTTGCTTTGTTCTGCAAACATACATAGTTAATATTCTCAGAAATCTACTTTATTGGAGCTCAATCAATGTATTCACATTCTTAAAGATTGTCTCTTTGTAGAATCTGGTTTTATATTATCTAAAAAGCCTTAAATTAAATTACCAAAATAATACAGGCAGATTTAGAACTTGAATCTAGTATTCATGGAATATACTGAAAAACTCCTGTAACTTTCAAGGAAAAATTCCTGTAACTTTCCTGCAGCATTTTTGCTTGCACATAATGGTCATATACAAAATGTACTCATTTGCAAGCTTTCTCCTCAGGTTTTATGCTCAAGAACTGCAGTCTGTCTGCTGTGTGAATCTGTTCTAAAGAAACTGGAAATTATTTGCTTGCTACAGACAATGAGTAACTATAGTAGTAAGTTGCCTGTTATGGAATAGGAAAGCAATATTGGTTTGTGTCAACAAAACATGCATATCTCTAGGCTGCAAAGCCCAGAAGTCAGGCCAGATTGTCTTTCCTTTACACGGATGCAACTTCTGTGACACTGGGCCACTGAGTGACTCACTCCAGCAATTGTGGCAGAGTAAATCAGGCCATTATTGAAATTAGAAATGACCAAACCACAGTAGGTTACTAGTAGACTTGTATTTCTTATATTTCAAGCTCAAATTTTGGGTTAAAATAATTAACCTTAAATGGAGAAACTGTTGGCTATGAAAATATAGTAATTTTAAAAAATGTTTGCCAGGCTGTTATCTAGCAGTAAGAAGCTGCATGGATGGCCTAATAGAGTTCAGTATTTCACAATGGGGTCTGAAAGGCCAACACATGAGTTCCCTTTAAATATAATTTTCAGCATTATATGAAAAGACAATATAAGGATTTGCTGGCAGGAATGTGTATGAGCTAAAACAGCATAAGTATTAGCATATATACACACCATCAATGTCTCTTCTTTTGAGCACTATCTATCTCAATCACTTTCAGATAATATAGATCTTTATTAAAAATGTTCAAGGGTTTTGTTTTGTTTTTCTAAACTGCTAACCTCATGAGCAGCAAAGCATTTACATTTTAAAGAGAAAGCTCTACTAGGTGAAGGTTCTGTTTGAATATTTGCATGAATTTTAATGAGTCTGTTCTAAGGTTTTTCAGTTGTTAGAAAAACCATCATGTACTGAAATAGTTTGAAGCTCTGGCAAGCTACAAGGGCTATCCGTTTGTAAGAACTCTCTAGGGGGTAGAGGTACTGCATCCTTTACATTACTTAGCATCCTTACATATTTTTTTTTCGTCTTCCTGTTCTTTTATGGTTAAAAACAGTGATGCTTTTTATTTAGAGGAGTTGACCATATTGTTATCTGTTTTATAGCTTAGGAAAACATTCTTTACTATTTGCATGTCACACTGTGTGGCTGTCTCATTATTTGAGTGGCACACAAATGACCAAAGAAGTGCCAAACGCTGTAAATGCTACACTCTAAAATAACACAATGACTGCTACTGCATTGAAAATTCTTTTTGATCCAAAGAATGGCATTAGGAATGTGCTCTGTTATGGCAGTACAGGATGCATTTTAATCTCACTAGAGAGAAACATATTTTAAAATGGACTATTAGAAAGCTTGTAAAAATGGAGACGTGTCTATCTAGTGAAACAAATGAAAACACTCCTATTGATTTAATTAAAATTGAAGTGGACCCTCTTTACTCATTATCAATTGGTAGTAGAAACTTGTTTGCATCAAATACTACTGCAAACCACAAGTACTTTCAGTGGGATCTCTATAGGACTATTTATATTGTGCAATAGTCTGCACATGAGTAAAGGCGTCAGAACCAAACTTTGATTGTTTGATCAAAGACTGTGCACACTTGGGGACATTTTAAAAAGTGCTGGAGGAGAAAATGTTATTTTGATCATGGTGTCTGAAATTTAGGACTCTCACTTCTTAGAACTTTGCAAACACTAATTACTGAAATACCTTTTCATCCTCTCTCAAAGAGGCAGACAAAAGCTCTTTGTTTCATACAGCAGACATGAAAACTGAGCAAAGAGGGACATAACTTTTCATTTGCATAAGGTGATTGTCATTCTTAAAAAATTAGACTAAAATCAAACAGAAGTGTTGGGAACTTGGTATTTCCATTGTAACCTATGGGAGCTATAGAACATAAGAACATACACACTACATGCACATACATAAAACATACAGTCATGTTGCTGCAGCAGAGCTGCTATAGTAAGCAGCAATAACTGTACTTGTGGTCATTCTCCTTCTGTGACTGGTGGTATCATGAACTGCTCAATGAAGATCTTACAGCAGAATCACTCCAATAGCATTACTCTGACAATGATAAAACCAGCTGTTGTAGCATATTTATTATTATTATTTTTTTAAATCAGACAAACAGATCAGCACACTGAGAATTTGACACAAACATAAAAATTGGAGACGGCTCTGGAAAAATGAAATATGTAACCAAGCCTGATGAGAGTTCTAGACCAGAGGATAGGTTAGTACACAATATATATTGCATGATTTTTGCAGGGATGTTTGACAAGATAATAAGTAATACCCAGAGAACAATAGAAGTGGAAGGATACGTTTGTGCGAGTGGATGTGTGTTTCTATGTATACATTTTTTATCTATCCATCTCCTGTTATGTCACTAAAGATTTATCAAGTGTTTTGCCTCTTTCTTTCTTTATTAATATTATGTCTAAATTCCTTCATCCACTATTCTATTTTCTCTCAGAAAGTAATCCACCTGTTTTTTTTTTTTTTTTTTTTTTTTTTTTTTGTCAGTTGTTGTTTTTGTTTTTTATAAGTAGTATTTTCAATACAAGTTCTTTCACCACTGTCACTTTCCCCAGGCAGGCCTTTAAAACAGATATTACTGGAAATAAACCAGAGCTATAATTAATATACAAGAAACACCCCAGGATACTTCTGCATCTTTCTGAACTACAAACAGGGCATTTGTTTTGAAGGAAATGTTCATGTGTTCTGAGTCAGAAGGAGAACCTGAGAATAGTAGGAAAGCTTGCAGAGATGAATTTTGGGCCAGATAAATTTAGATACACAAGAAAACAAACAAACAAACAAACAAACAAACAAAAAAAAACCACAAGACCAAAATTTCTATTTATTTAGTTATTTTAATACTGAAAAAGGTATTTAATTATTCTTCTAAAACAATTCCATATACCTTACTAAGAATAGATACCGGTGTCTGGCCATTACTCATTATGCAAAATTTATAGTTTTATTTTTTAAACTGACTATTTACAGATAGAAATTAAGAGAAATGATAACATATCCCAAAACATTTCTCTGGGAAAAAAAAAAAAGATAATTGTGCGTTTCTAGGAATGACTGCAACAGAGCAGACAGCATTTTCACAGTCCAGTGACAAATCTCTGGTAGTAAAGTACAGCTGATATTTTAGGGGAAGATTCTGACATCCTTCAGTAACCAGTCACAGAGAGATCTGTTTTAAGGAAAAAACTACGTCTATCTTCAAAATATGTGAACTCATCTTCAAACTTAAAAGAATAAAATTGTAAATCTGATTCTGAAACATGTTCTTTTTTCAATTTAAACATCCATTCAAAACGATAATAAAATCAGCAATGACTTTGCTTAGTATCCTGCTATGTTTCTGACCTCAGTTATCTTCTGAGAATGAGTTCAACAAGCAATCATATTTTCATTTAATTAATATACACCTCTGACAAATCGTATTTCTTTATAGGTAGTGGAACTTGAAAATAATTTCTTAGCTAACCCACAGCTGCTTATAAAATGCTTCCCTGATATCACATAAAAAATGTCATGAAGAAACAAAAATTCAGTAGGTGGGAATTCCTAGATAATCTTATCTGTACACACATACCAGGATTGCAAGATGAGAATAAGTATATATACATGTATTTATATACCAGAACTGTATCTATACATGTCTCCCTCCTCCTCCCCTTAATGGTCATGATTACTGTGATTGAACAGGGGGCTTGGACTGATGATTTTCAAAGATTCCCTCAGCCTAAACTATTTTGTGTTTCTCTGTCTTATGCATTTAAATGTGTAGCTTGTAACTTATAAAAATCATCTTCCAAAGTTACCCAAACTTGATCTCATAACATCTCTTCATAAAACAGTTTTCTATCTGCCATACACCTAATAATTCTCATTTCTTGTTTCTGAACACTCTCTATTTCTTCATTCTTTTTGGGATCGAATCTGCAGGGAGT